TGGGGCAGGAGGGGGAGTCTGGGGGCTCTCGCAGGCTCACAGGGCTCGACCCCATGCCCCCCCCATTTGGGGCTGGCCCCATCTCCCTGCAGGCTCCCTGATGGGCGACCCGGCCGTGATGGTGACCCTGCTGCCCAGCCTGCCCGAGGCTGTACCAGGCCAGAGCTCGGCCGGGGAGTTCATCTTCCTGCTGGACCGCTCCGGCAGCATGGAGTGCCCCATGGACGGCCGAGACCGCTCCCCCCAGCGCATCGACAGCGCCAAGGTACGGCCGGACGGGAAGCCACACTACATGGGCCTGTGGAGGGGAGCAGTTCAGGCTGGCTGGGCCCGTGGGGGTGACACCATCTGTCTGTCCATCCCCAGGAGACCCTGGTCCTGCTGTTGAAGAGTTTGCCCCTGGGCTGTTATTTCAACATCTATGGCTTTGGGTCTCGGTTCGAGTCCTTCTACCCGTGAGTCTGGGGCAGGGCGTGTTGCTGGCTGGGTTAGGGAACAGGGCAGGCTGGGGTCGGGGTGTCCCTGGGCTGGGGTTGGGATGTCTGTGAGTTGGGGGCAGGGCTGGCTGGGGTCGGGGTGTCCCTGGCTCCAGCTGTCCCGGCCCCTGACCCCTCGGCACCCCCCGCAGGCAGAGCGTGGGATACACCCAACAGACCATGGCCGAGTCCCTGCAGCGCGTCCAGCAGCTCCAGGCTGACCTGGGGGGCACCGAGATCTTGGCGCCGCTACGAGCCATTTACAGCAGCCCCTGCCGGGACGGGCACCCACGCCAGGTACCGGGGGCAGCCTCAGGGCATCCTGGGGGCTCAGAGAGGGGCTGGGGCTGGGAGGGGTTAGCCGACTGGGGCTTTTTGGGGGGGGGGTTCAGAGTAGGTCTGGGGACGACGGGGGGCCACTGTCCCGGGGATGGGAGCAGGGCATGGTAGGCAGGAGCTGGGGGCGGGGTAACTCTGTATAGATTTGGGGGGCAGCGCTTCATGCTGAGCCCAGCTCTGGGGGTGCCCTGCAGCTGGGGGTCAGTGAGGGCACATGATGGGGGCAGGAGGGAGCTCCCGGAAAGGTGCCCACAGCAGTCGGGCGGGTTAGTGTCTCCACAGGCCAGGGAACAGGTGAGAGTCGGGGTCACAGTTAGAGTCAGGGGTCGCTGTCTGTCAGTCCCCCCCAGAGGAGATGTCTGGGAAGGGAGGGAGGGCGGCTGGGGAGTTTTATGGGGCTGGGGGTCTCTGGGAGAGGTGTCAGTGGGGAAGATTCTCTGGGGGCTGCCCCCATTCCCAGGGGGAGGGGGTGTCTCCAGGGGGATTTGGGGTCCCCGGCTTTGACAGTGTCTCTCCCCCACCAGCTGTTTGTGTTCACGGACGGGGAGGTGGGGAACACCCAGGATGTCATAGCTGAGGTGCAGCGTCACCGGGGGGCCCACAGGTAACAGGGGCACCTGCCCCTCCAGCATCCCTCCCACCCTGCCCCCCAGTGACTCCCCACCCTGCTACTTAAGATACCCCCAACCTTGCTGTCATGGTGTGCAGAGTGGCACCCAGCTGAGAGTGCCAATCTCAGCTCAGACTGTCAGAAGCCAAGGCAGATGCCCCAACCCCCAACCTGGGAGTGTTCCCTAGAATTCGGTTTCCGCAGCCAGGACCCAGTGTGCGCACCTGGATCACTGGGCCACTCTGACCACGGACGGTCCCCGTGGGTGCTCCAGCCAAACTGAGCACCCGGACAGGCTGGATGGAACGAGATTGGGCGCATAAACCCAAAGTCACACAGTTCTCCAGGCGCTGATCCCGTGGTCAGGACACTCCAGAGCTCGCCTGTGAACTAACCGCAGGTGTGTGAGCTCGGAGAAGGGAACAGCTAGCGAGAGGTTAGTGCAGTGAACCACGGAGCAGGTGAGTCAGTTTGTGGGTTCAGAGGATGGGAGAGACGTGGGATCTGCATTCTCAGGGTGTCCCAGAATGGCTTTGGGGACCTCAGGCTGGTGTCCAGAAGAGCTCAGACGCACGATCCCTCCCAGGGTCCCTTTCCCTCGCTGAAAACCATCCAGCGAGTTTCCGTCACCGCCCGGGTCTCGCTGTGTGGCCTGAACGCAGACAGTTCGTGGAGCGTCCATTGGCCTGGTCGGGAGCCGTGCTTCAGAGTGACGGTGGTTCTGCATTTACATGGGCCAGGTGCAAATGGGGACTGTCTGCCCCACAGCACCCCTCAACCCTGCCCCCAGCCTTGTGGCCTGGGGACCCCAAGCAACCCCAAACACTGTCCCCCCTGCCCTACTGGCATGGGCACCCTCAGCAACCCCAAACTCTCTCCCCCCAGCTTGGGAACCCCCAGCACCCACCAACCCTGCCTCCCATTATCTCACCAAAGCTGCCCCCTGCCCTCCCGACCTGGAAACCCCCAGCAACCCCAAACCTCGGCCCTATCATCTCCCCAACCCTGCCGCCCACCCCTGCCAACAGAGAGACCCCAACCCCAACATCTGCCCATCCCTTCACCTCACCCTGCCCCCCAGCCCTACTGGCCCCTCTCCAACTGCCCCCCCAGCACTGAATGGGCCCCCCGAGCTCTGGCCCTGCCACTCCTGTCTCTGACCCCCCCCCCCCCGGACCTCTGCCCCCCTGCAGGTGCTTCTCCTTCGGCATCGGGGAAGGGGCCTCCACGGCTCTGGTCAAAGGCATCGCCCGGGCAGCAGGGGGCAGCGCCGAGTTCATCACAGGCCAGGACCGCATGCAGCCCAAGGTGAGAACCCAGGAGTCTGGGCTCCCCGGCTCTAACCCACCAGACCCCACTCCCCTCCCAGAGTTGGGAGAGAACCCAGGAGTCCTGGCTCCAAGCCCCCCCCCTGCTCTAACCCACCAGTCCCTATGCCCCCCCTACCCTCCAGGCCGGGGATAGGACCCTGGTGTCCTGGCCCCACCCTGGGTGTGTTGGTCTCTCCCCCAGGCGCTGCAGTCTCTGAAGCGGGCCCTGCAGCCGGCCGTGACCGGGATCTTGCTGCGCTGGGATCTGCCCCCCGGGATGGAGGCGGCGCTGCTGGGCCGGGGCCCTGAGGTGATCTTCCCTGGGCAGCGGTGCCTCATCTTCGCCCAGCTCCGCGGGCAGCCCCAGGTGAGAGAGCGAGGCCCCCCTCCCTCCCCCAGGACGCCCCCAGGGCTCGGGATCAGTGACTGCGCCAGGAACCCCCCACCCCTTCCTGGGAGATAACTCTGAAAGAAGCAGTGAGAGGTAAAAAGGCATCCTTTAAAAAGTGGAAGTTAAATCCTAGTAAGGAAAATAGAAAGGAGCATAAACTCTGGCAAGTGAAGTGTAAAAATATAATTAGGAAGGTCAGAAAAGAATGTGAAGAACAGTTAGCCAAAGACTCAAAAAGTGACAGCAAAAATATTTTTAAGTGTATCAGAAGCAGGAAGCCTGTTAAAAAAACAGTGGGGCCACTGGACGATTGAGATATTAAAGGAGCACTCAAGGACGATAAGGCCATTGCGGAGAAACTAAATGAATTCTCTGCATTGGTCTTCATGGCTGAGGATGTGAGGGAGATTCCCAAACCTGAGCCATTCTTTTTAGATGACAAATCTGAGGAACTGTCCCAGATTGAGGTGTCATTAGAGGAAATTTTGGAACAAATTGATAAACTAAACATGACTGGAGAACACCTAATGTGACACCAGATTTTAAAAAGAGCTCCAGAGGTAATCCCGGCAGTTATAGGCCAATAAGCCTGACTTCAGTACTGGGCAAACTGCTTGAAATAATAGTAAAGAACAGAATTGTCAGGCGCATAGATGAACAGAATTTGTTGGGGAAGTGTCAACATGGTTTTTGCAAAGGGAAATCATGCCTCACTAATCTACTAGAATTCTTTGAGGGGGTCAACAAGAATGTGGACAAGGGGGATCCAGTGGCTATAGTGTATTTGGACTTTCACAAAACCATGGACAAGATCCCTCTCCAAAGGCTCTTTAGCAAGATGGGATAAGAGGGTCGGTCGTCTCATGGATCAGTAACTGGTTAAAAGATAGGAAATAAAGGGTCAGTTTTCGGAATGGAGAGAGGTAAATAGTGGTGTCCCCCAGGGGGTCTGTACTGAGACCAGGGCTGTTCAACATATTCATAACTGATCTGGAAAACGGGATAAACAATTAGGTGGCAACATTTGCAGATACAAAATGACTCAAGATAGTTCAGTCCCAGGCAGACTGCGAAGAGCTTCGAAAGGATCTTACAACATAGGCGGGGAGTTATATGGGCCTGTGGTGCCCGTGCTGCACCAATATTCAGGAACGTGGGCCCGGCTCCACCAATGTTTGGGCTTATATTTAATCAGAACCGTCCCGTCCATAGGATGGACCGGGGCAACCGCTTCAGGTGGACACGGGGTCCAGGGCAGCCTGGGCGGGTAGCAGGGGCCAGGCACCAGCAGCAGCAAGTGACCCAGCCCCAGCCTGCCCTGCTCCGCCCACCCCCACTCCACCTCTTGCCACCCTGCCTCTTTCCGGCTCCCTCCCCCTCCCCCGAGCGACGCCGGGACCCGGCGAGGCAGAGCACAGCGGGGCAGGCAGGGGCCGGGTCGCTTGCTGCTGCTGGCACCAGGCCCCCTGCTAATCCCCCAGGCCGCCCTGGACCCCGCATCCCCCTGAAGCGCGGGGCCTGGGGCAGTTGCCCTGGTCCGTACTATGGACTGGACGGCTCTGCTTGGACCTGTTCTGGGCACCACCAAAAATTATACAAACCTGGGTGACTGGGCAAAAAAATGGCAGATGTAATTCAGTGTTGATAAATGCAAAGTAATGCACTTTGGAAAACATAATTCCAACTGTACATATGAAATGATGGGTCTAAATTAGCTTTAACCACTCAAGAAAGAGACCTTGGAGTCATTGTGGATAGTTCTCTGAAAACATCCACTCAATGTGCAGCGACAGCAAAAAAGCAAACAGAATGTTGGGAATCATTAGGAAAGGGATAGATAATAAGACAGAAAATATCATATTGCCTCTATATAAATCCATGGTACGCCCACATGTTGAATACTTTGTGCAGAGCTAGTCATCCCAACTCAAAAAGGATAGATTGGAATTGGAAAAGTTTCAGAAAAGGGCAAAAAAAAACTGATGAGGGGTATGGAACGGCTGCCAAATGGGGAATGTTTAATTATACACGGACTTTTCAGCTTGGAAAAGAGACGACTAAGGGGGGATATGATTGAGGTCTATAAAATCATGACTGGTGTGGAGAAAGTAGATAAGGAAGTGTTATTTACTCCTCATA